GCGGATGTGGTCTTGCATTGTGTCACCCAAGGTCCATCGTATTCTTATGGTTTCTGGAGTTTGCTACTCCACTTCTGTATATTCTGTTTTCTCGGTTTTGAGCTTCAACGCATGCAACTTCAATTGTGTTTCCAACATTCACCTTATCTTTTCGCTTCTTCAACTATTTATAAGGAACATCACAAGATTGCTTTGACAAAGACCTGAGAATTTCGTTTACTTGATTCCTATGAGCATCTAGAACTTTTTACAGTCAGATTTTAGCTTCAAGTTTGAGATGGGTTGAAGCTAGTGCGAACTTTCACACTTTTCATTTAAAACTTGCTTCGCTCTTCGTATATTGTCCTAAAAAGTGATCAAAAGCAAAAGAGATTGTGGTTTACTGTGGTTAAATTCAACATGAAGCATATAATCCACAGTACATGTCTCCTGCCTTTTCTGGATTATCCGTCTACCTTCCTCTCTAAGGGCTGCTTTCAGATGCTCAACGTCAACGCTGAAGAGATATTAGAAAGAAGACTCTTTTGAGGTCCATAGAAGTATGCTCTAAGACAAGCACTTCTGAAGCGCTGCAGAGACTATGGTATTCTTTCCTTTCGCGCAGCAAATTTATTGTGCTGTTTTGTACGCAATCTGACTCATTCAAAGTGTTGTCGTTATGTAATTGTCGTGAATGGATCTTTTTGCTTTTTAATTTCAGAAACTCAATGCTGAAAAACTTTTTTGAATTTCCTGGTGTAGGAGACTGAAGCAAAAAGTTCGGTAGAGTATGCTTAGGGCTTCCAAAAGCATACAATATTCTGCAAAACACTGCGCAAAAAACTGGGAAAACATCAGAGGAAAAAATGGGACAGAGCTTATTACACAACCTAAATAGAAAATAGGTGGACAGTTTCTGCTAATGATCTTTTGAAAACGTCTAATGCTGTTTACATACTATTAATTTCCTGCATTTATAAATGAGGATCATTTGGCTTTGTTTTTTCAAATATGCAAATTTGAATAATGCGTCAAGGTTTTTTTTTGTTTCGAATTCAATAGAAAAGGTGAGATAAAGACTAGAGCATAGTTTGATTCGGAAAGATTTTGAAGAAATACCATCATACGTACCTTTCGATTGCAGCATTTGACAAACCCTGAAAGTTTCGTAATGCATGACTTACATAGATGTAAACTTTTTGTGAACTGCAAACAGAGAAGCGAAGAGAGTAGACATGATACAAAAAAAGTTGTTTCTGCAACCAAATTCGAAGCCATGTGGTCAGTGGTACCAAAACGCAAGCGAAGAAAAGCTTTGATCATTCGTTTTGTTGCAAGCTATTTTCTTCTATCATACTTCCAATTAGAATGCAGTGCACATTTTCAAGAGTTTTTCAGCATCGAAGTAAAGGCCTTACTTCATGTCTGCTGACTTTGACGTTGAGAAAGGGAACTTCGTCACCGTCAGACCATACTATCCACAAAAGTTTTTTGCTGCAGTTTTGAACTTATCTCTAACTGATTTTGGAACTTATCATATAAAGAGACTGGCAACCTTTCAATGCCCTCGCTTTCTTTCTCAAATCAACAAAGTCTGCGTCTAGAAAAAAACGGTGTTGACTGTTACTTGAGTTTGCTTTCTGAGGGGTCAAAATGCGATTTGCATAACTTTTAACTCGTCGTGATCTCAAAATAACGACGTCAACACCTGTGTGCGTCGAACAGGTATAAGACCGTCGACAATAATAATTCTGTTTTAGAAGCCCTTATCTCATATTGCAAAAGTCGAATCTAAACTTGCCTGCTTTTGCTTTGGGGACAATTCGGAATTACAAATTTTTCTATTCGAAATTAATGCTTTATAGAAACAGTATCATGCTTTGGTACAGTTACGCTAGCTAACTCGGCAACCTAATCACACCCTTGAAGGTACCGTCCACCCAAAATTTCGACCTCCATTTTTTTGCCGTTCCAGGGTTTTCCCGTACCCCTGATTCCGAATATCAAATCGAAAATTTGCAAAAACCACAAAAACCCCGTTTTCAGATTCTGCAGGGCAATTTCTTCGATACGGTGATTGGTTGGGCGCGCACGGATGGGCGGGACGAACGTCACGCCCACCCGAAGGGGGAGGAGCCAACGTCGCGAACCGTCCCTGAAGCGATTTCCAAAGCAATTTTCCCGTTTCGGAAGCAACCTTTGCCAGCGCGAGTTGGATAAATATACAGTTGGAGGCTCCACTACTGTTAGGCATCAAGATCTCATCAACCCCATTTTGGGTGTACGGTGCCTTTAAGTGCTCTACAGAGCTGTACAACGTCCTTGCTGATGTGAGGTTTGAAAACCTTAACATAAAATATGGGCTGTACCAACCAGCATCGGTCACGCGACGTCGCGCCTGCGGCAGCTTGCGACGATGCGTGTGACGCGTGCGAACTCCGTTACGCGCGAGAGCACGTCGCATGCGGCCGCGCATTATCGCAAGGCATAACAGCGCGGAACCGATACTGGTTGGTACAGCCTATAGGTTCTGGAAACTGTACGATTGCAGCCATTTGGCAAGGAGGTCTCCGTGTTGTGTATTGCTACCGTATTCCTACATTAACTAAAAGCTTTCATCTGATAGTTACTGTGAATCTATGTTGAAGTCATCTCTATATAATAACATATATCGGGGCATAAGAGGTATTAATTATCATTAATTAACCTATAGTAAGAGTAGAGACTTTTTTACGCATTCCACGCAGTTTCTTGAAAAGCATTCGTAAACGAAGTGAAATTGGGTTCATGTCTTTATGGCAGCATGTGATGCATCCTTTATGATTGCTCGAAAATTTTGCAGTAAGTCCGAAAAGATGTTTGCGTAAACCTAGAAATTAAACATATTTTTGGAAGAATTCAAAAAAAAGCCCAACATAATCAGGGCCCGGCAGGATTCCGTTTATAGGGTCTTTGAAAACGAAGTCACCTTTGACTTTCGAGAATTTCACGAAGTTCCCTTTGACCCTTGCCCTACTCCCCCCCCCCAGCCTCCGACCGTGTGAAAAGCAAAGAAAAGTATACACAAAGAACTTTATTCAGATACTTCAATTATTGAAACAAAAAGCAAAATAATTGAACTTCAAATGTTTCAATATGCACTAAGAGTGGCTGAAAAGCAAAAATTATGAGATCAGAAGATGAAAGGTTCTTTTCGTGTGGGACCAACTTGGATAGCGATTCGAGGTGGCAGCTTAGCTTGAAGTTTCTCCATTGCAGAGTAATGCCATTCAGCACCTTCACGCTGTACGGCAGCTAGCCGCTTCGGTTTCTAGTTGCTTCTTAGTTCAGCTGCTGCCCAAAATGTTCACTGATTCATCTCGGTCACTCATTCATTAACAAATACTTCCGAAAAAGAAGAGTACGGCATAAAAACAATACACTAACTTGAGCTACTACTAAGGTGTACTTCTGTAGGCCCTGTTCGTTGATGACCATCTGACACAGAAAATGAGGGCTGTTAATACCACCTTCATAAAGCGGCTTCGGATCCACTAAACAGTTCTGTCTATAGATAAAAAGTAATGCTCCACAAAGCACTTGGTAAGTATTAGGTTGTCCCATAAGTCTTTTCATATTCCTTCAATTTGATATTTCTCAAGAACTGGGGCACCTAGTAAGCTGTAAATTTTTGACAGTAACTCTGAGTGAATAAGCTATATAATCGCCTATTTTCGGGGAACACAGAACTGATACAGGCAAAGTTTGAAAACTGAGCGCATTATATTTTTTTTGGTTTCTAGCCATCAGAAAAATGCAGCAAGTGCATACATAAATATCCGATGAGAAGAGTATACGCATGAAAAAAATTGGGAATGCGCAGAGTTGTTTTGAAGTGAGATATGACGATTTTCATTTTTTCGGAAATTCGGATTTTTTTTTGTTTCGGCTGGGAACTTGAACGGATTGAGGTTTGTGCGAACTTTTGAAGGTCATCTTGTAGAGCTTGCTTTGGTCTGTCGAATGGTACCACGCATTCTATTAGAAAATCAAAAAGAACTGATTTATGTCGCTGGTAATTTAGGTATGAAAAGACTTATGGAACAACCTAATAGATTTTTTGCCTGATTTGTAAACTATCACGGTGATATACTCTTTATTTTCCGCAAAAATCGGACTAAAATATGCATCAATAGACGGTAAAGGGATAAAAACACATGAAAACCTACAATCTCCGTGATATGCCTGGTAAGCAAAACCCATACTGCAGTCGACGACTTCTTAGTAACTTCCAGAGAGTATTGTGGGTTGTCAGCAACAGTGTAAAGGTCTTTAACTGGTCCTGCACAGGAATTCTAAGTGCTATAAAAATTGAATAAAAATTAAAAATCAAAAAGCAAAATGTTATCCAGCTGAATACGCAGCGTAAATAATTAAGCATGAATTCCATAAGTGTATGGGAAAAGCGCAGGAGTCCAATTAACGTAAAAAAAACATCGAAAAATTTGCAAACAGATTCGAAATAGCGACAGAGTTCTGGAGTCCTTCAGCTTTTCGTGTCGCTCTCTGAAAATCGCTCTTTCCATCGAAGATGCGTCCAAAAAATTTTTTACCATTAAAAGCGTTTAACCTGAGCTTATATCATACTGATGAATAATGTTTGCTGCAGTCCACCAAGTCCAAAACTCCTACGGTGTTCACAGATGCCCATATGCTTATGCAGTGCGGGCATAGGGCAGCTATGAAAGCAAAAAACAGCCAGTAGATAAGTGATAGCGACATCAAACTCACATCTATCTTTCTGAGATCCAAAACGGCATAGGCGTGACATTCAACAAGGCCTGCTCTATCGCACACACTTTCGCTCAGTTTTCCAGTCGCTAGGGTTATTAAGCAGTTTCGTCGATAAAAACGAGACAGAAGCTTTTCAAAAATCTAATTACCATGATCAAAATAGGATTGGGGAACAAGTGCATACATTTTTTGACCCGAGCATGCAAACAATTTTGTAAAAATAGATAGAAATATATTCCTCTAAAACCTTAAGTGAACGACCGGAGGAGACGTACCTTGACTGAACCAAGAGTGTTCTCAATCCAATCTAATAGATCCTTCTTATCAACGTCACGGAACACCTCTGCGTTGCCAAACGATGATTATAAACAAATTTTGCGCAAGATCCACTTACTTCCTTCTTTTTCCTTCTCTCCTGCCTTTGCTGCAGCGCTCTCAGCCCATTTCTCCACACCTAGCTTCCTGTCGAACTGCTGCAGCGCAAAGAAAACAGCCTAAAATTGTGACACGCCTATAATCACAGTAAAAGTGACATTTACTCAGCAAAAATCGTCAGCAGGTTCATACAAGAATAACACTTCCTTATTTTGTGACCTGACCAGTTCAAAATATGGTGACGACTTTGCCAGATTACCAGCCTTCAAGGTGGAGGATTCACAAAGCTGAAGCTTCGCGATAGACTCCTTTGAAAGAAAAAACCTCAGTAAGTGAAAAAAACGAAAATAGACGTAGCAGACAACTCACCTTATCGGAATGATCCATTTCAATAATAATGCCCTTTTTTAGGAATAGACTATACTTCTTGTAGAAATCTGCATATTTCACGCTATCTTTCTTCATTTCACTTGCAGATAATTCAAAATTTTGTCGGTAAGAAGCTTGCGCAATTTCCTTATAGAAGAAAAACAAGATAATCAGATACAAAGGTAGAGATGTACTCAGAATTACGTGGTATAAACACAAACCTTAATAAATGGTCGATCTGGAGCATTTCACAACTAAGATTCAAGGGTATGTCTTCTGAATCTACGACATTCATTATGAAGTGGAGGTAGCTGCAAAAAGTGTAAAGAGTTTTATATCCCGCTGAAGCTAATCAATTGTGTTGAACGAACAAAGGAAAGCTGAAAAACAGCTTGAATGACAAGTAAAGCTAACCAAACTCAACCCAACATATCTTATGTCGATAACAGCGAAGAACGACAACGAACGAATGTAGAACGACAACAACAGACGAAGGAAACACTCAATGTTTGCAGCAGCGACCAATCTATCAAAATTTCGCTCAGAGTAACGCGGAACTGGCGGTGGAGCGCGATATTCAACATGGCGACTTTCGGAAAAAAAGATGATAAAAAACGACGGACAGGGTATGAAATGAAAATGTTTCTATGCTCAGGGATAGATTTTTGACCGGGGCATCCATCCATGCTGAAAAGATTCAAAACTTATGTGAAGTGACGGAAATATATGCTCCAGACGATCTCAAATCGTCTGGTAGCCGTCTGGAGACGATCTAGTTTTGGAAGATGTATTACTTCACTTATTTCAAATCTTTTCACATAATTCTTCCGCAAATAATTTTCTATGCATGCAGTTCAATTTTGGTGTCATATGGTTCTGTGTGCGCTGTAAACAAGCGATTTGTTTATTTTAGCCTTGCTTTCAAATCGCGCGCACTTTTCGCCATACACGATAGAGCATGTAAGTCCTGTGATAACCTGTCTGGAAAGCTTGTGTTCGTCTGGATGGTCGTTTATCTTTGAATTGCTGCCTCTCTATAGTCGGTTAAGAATCCTTTTTGGAGTTTCCTTGATTTTTGATTCGTTGCACATGGATTTGCATGCGTAATAGTAACTTATTTTCTTTATCAGAACGTGTGCACATTTTTAGGATCAACTGGTTGGCTTCTACTATTTATGGAAAAAAGCTTTTGATGCCGTGAAGCTGGAACCACTTTCAAGACAGCGAAATCAAGTAGCACGCATCAAGAGAAGTTCAAAAAGTTCACCGACCAAGGTTGTTATCTCTCATGCTTCTATACTCTTCTGTATTTGTAGCTCCTAATTGAACTTTAAGACATCACGACCTGCCTCTACTGAGTTTTGGATTATGCGTCGGCAAGCGAGGGCGAAATGGAGGGATTGTAATCTGAAAAAGCATCGCAATATGCCTGCCATCATTCAATGCTATGGCTCCAGTAAGTGCATTTTTTATGGATATTTTGTTATGTGGCGAACTAGATGTGTCTTTTCAGAGAGTCGCAACTGGTGTCATGCAGGAAGAGATGGTCTGCTGCTATAAGAAATACGGTCCCTTACGTCCCGTCGATAGGCTGTCAACTGTGCTTCCGTGTCTCTTCAAACGCAGTCCATCCAGCGGAGATATCGACGAGGACAGTTGAATAAGAACTAAAGCTGGGAAGAAGGAACGGGAACGATGAAGGTGTGTTTGCTCTAGAATTTTACTTACATTATTGAGGGACGTCGATTTGCTCACGCCCACTGAGGTTACCTGGGAATTCACATGTTATAAATATTCTACCTAAATCGGCTTGCTATTCACAAAACACTATGGTAACCAAGCAACTTAAATTGATTGTTTGTCACAATTTTTTCCCAATCCCGCTAGTGAACATGTGCAAAAATTATTTCTTCGGGACTTAGCCCCGGGACCCCGCAAAAACGATATCCCCTTTTCCTTTGCTTTTTGCTCCGAAAACGAAGTGCAGCCTGCTTCTAAGCGATCTGTGCCGGGCCTTGAACATGAGTCACTATTACGATTTTTCGAATGCTTTATAGGTGCGACGGGTTCATGCGTGACATTTAGCATTCGACTAAGGTTGGCTTTCTGGGCCGCCACAAACTTTATTTGAGGCGAAACCAATCACGGAATGATCAAATTAGGAGAGCTAAAGATTTCCCACCTAATACAACCAATGGTGAGGACAAATGAAGGTCGGAAATGCTTAAGTCGCTTCTTACACAATGAAGAAGCGGTTCCAAAATCAACTCCTCAAAATAAATTCTGCAGAGATAAACTGAGGAACATTTAGTACATCTAATACATAGTGTCTGCTGCAAAGAGCTCTTAATTACTGTTGACTGACTTAGTGCTAGGATCAATCAGACCTGTACTCATCATCATTCATTTGTCCTCAGAGGTGCGATAGTGGGAGCCCATCCCCCTACCTTCACTTTTGAGCTGGTACAGGGTGACCATCTTCACTTTTAGAATAAAAATTGTTTTCGCTGGAAGATAAAGAAGGAAAATAGGAAAAATAAACGTAACATAAACGGTAGATGAGGGTAATACATAATGAGATTACGAAGGTAGACGATATTGAGAGTAATGAGAAGGTTACATGGATTGGTAAATAAGGAGATTACAATAGGAGGTAAATAATATCGAGGTAAATAAAAAGGTTACATGGATACGAAGGATACATAAGAATACAAAACAATGATAGAAAAAAATGAGGAAGGGGTGGTTAAATGAGGTGCAGTGGTACCAGCCGAAGCTGGCGGCGGAGGTGCATGAGAACCTTCGAAGGCGAGGTTACCTCCTTTTATACTCACATTAACGGCGGGCTGTGCGGGCGCAACCAAAGCGCAGTGGTGGTAATTTGCGCTTTTCCTACAAAAGTCATAACAAGGGAATGGCTTTAAAAAGGTTCGCAGCCGAAAAAAGTAAGGACTTCATTGAACTTATTTTTGTTCTTTATGATCTCAGCTACAATCTTTGAATATCGCTCCAGGACGGGAAGAGAATTACGCGTTTCCGAAGAAATGCGTTTCCCCAGAAGTAACGAGGCATGTCTATTCGACACCCCAGCAGAAGAAAAACTCTGGACTTTTTTCGAAAACATTTCCGTCACCACTCGTTTGTAGAGGGCGAAAGCCATGTAGGAAAGGTGTGCGATTTTATAGCCCAAACCCAATTTGCATGGATTAATCACAGAGGAATTCGCCCGCTCTTGAAGGCAACCACGGTCCAGAAGATGTCCAGCCGCTTATGGTAAGGCTCAGCATTGTCATGACTCACTCTTCAAGCGTTTTATTTAGGTTGATTTCGAAAGCGACACAGACCTTGAAGAAGAAGACTATGAAGCCGGGGAGGGCAGGAAACTAGACTTAGGTGGAGGAGGTGGTGGAGGAGGCGATGAACGAGCTAGAGCGAAGAGTCGTTTGAGAGTTACGGAAGCCGATTTACTGCAAGAGCAGTATCGGTTGATCCAGGTGAGCATGAGTTTAACCGATGGGGTTTTTATTTGAAATGCAACATTTAGGACCAGCGCAACTTTTTGAACGAAATGATTCAGACATTGCGCGTCATGTATGACTTCATCGGGGTGGAGGAACGAACACCTCAATTAGGCACCGCCTCCGCGGACCACGGTCCCAACACGATGCACAAGAGCAGGACGAAAGGACCAGCAGCCCGCGGAGGCAACGCTTAATTGAGGCGTTCGTTCCTCTACCCACTTCATCGCATCACAGAAGAGCCAAACTACCCCGGAAATCGAACCAGGCAGGCAGGACAGTGGAGGGAGGGCTGCAGCCATCATGGGCGATGAAAATGTAGAATAATCAGTAATTTCGAGTTAGTAAGAAAGCAAAAGTTTCACTTGTTTACACTAATCGTTGTTATAAGTGCGTTTGCGTTTGTTATTGTTGCTCTGTCAGAACTTGCCACAATTGTTCTCGTTTCTCTATATCAATTTGCTTGTGTAATTAGTCCGTTTGTTGTTCCGTTGTTCGTTACACTTTTTTCATTCTTTCGTGTGATGCTATTGAAAGACTCTAAGATGTCATATTGTCATATTTCGCGATGTTATATTGTTGTCGTTGACAAACTGGCCCATTCGAACAACCCAGTAATGTTGTTAAACATGTTTCGGAGGGTAGCAGAGGTACGCAACTCATATACAGTGATTAAAAGTCAGTTTATGGCTTTCAGGAGTCAACAGTAGCGTTCCATGCAACAGTGCCAATACATGGCATGGAACGTGGTATACTTGCCAGCAACAGCCGTTCGCCGATGGTTGTGCTTTTTAGTATCTATGCTCAATGGTTGCTTATAAGGTGACGTTACTTTCCTCTGTTGATGATTTGCAAGAGCTTATTTGTGAGAATTCAGGATGAATTACTTATTAGTAACTGCCGACCATTACCTCGTTATGTTCATATTTTCAACACCGAGAAGAAGGCTTACAGAATTATAAGTTGTTTTCCGTCCTTTTCTTGTATTTTACTTCCTATGTGTTTTCCATGCCATTTATAATTCACTGGATACAACTGAAGCATCACTCATACTTGTGATGCTTTCGATCTTAGGTTCATTCCGTGACTCATTTTGCTGAAAAACAATCAGTCATGCTTATGAAGCTTTTTCTGTTAGTAGTGCAGAAAGGTTCAAAAATTCATTGTTCTGTCTGACCAAAAATGCATTTGGAGAGCTCATCAAGACGAGCATTGCAGATTTACACATGCAGACACCGCAGAACTGCCACTGCAGAAGTTGTTGTGATTACAACCGATCTATTTGTGAAGTGTGAGTCAGTAGTTGAAATAGCAACGGTGTGTTTAGCGTGAACAGTGTAATCTCATCATTTACATCTACATCGAAGAGCAATTAATATGACTTCATATTTAGATAGATTACCAGTTTCTCGTTAAACAGCGACTATGCTACAAGCATCGTTCTCTTTGGAAACAAATAATTGCAAAAATATACCAAGCGTACTGGTAGCAAATGGCAGAAAACTTTCGCAACAAATCCGGTTTTTATCACATTTCTGTTTCCACCAATTATCTTCTCAAACTAGCTGCTTGGCGATGATTGACGAGGAATTTTTGGGATATCGATAGGCAAACTTGAATGTTACGTCTAATGACAAATGTGCAACCTATTTTCAGTATTTCGAACCATTTTTACAGCTAAATGTGACCTATGTCTTACGTCTTGAAATAAAATTTTTGCACAATTCTTAGCATCAAAGTCTATGAATTGTAGACAGCCTTAATATAGATCAACTACAGTAAACACATTTTCAAAATGTTTTGTCTGTACGTAAGCCTACACTCCAAGCCTTTCCAGGGTTGTCATTTGATACAGACAATTTTATATTACCTTGCGATTTATTTGAACGAAATATAAAATGAGCAGGGACAGGGACAGTGTTCTTGTCAGAACGTAGCTGCAATGTCCACTTTTTCTGCAAGCTTCTTTGCTTCGCATTCAACAATGCATGCCCATTTTGCGTACCATGGTTTGTCCTTGCATATGCCATCACACTGAAAGGGCAAAACATTTATGTAGTCATTATGAAGATGATCTTGTAAGAAGTCTTACACTTCTAGCAACTGTGCTTGGTATGAAAGTAAGGACCATGGCTATTAAGGCAAACAGCTTTGGATTCAGCATTTTTAAGATTGAATCTGGAAATTTGTATGGAAAAATCTGTCTGATAGCGAAAGGAAGTTCCTTAAATGCAATGCGTACAATTATCTTAGCATGCTTTGTCTCTAGTTTGTTATGTCTGCGGTGAAACCCGAAAAATTACACATTTGCATTCCATGTACCTGAGTCATCGGATGACTCCTTTGAATGTTTACAATTTTTCGTACATACCGAGCATAGAGAATCTAGCGTAGAAATACATTGGAGAATTTATCAAGAAAAGCATTGCAGTTTTACACATGCGTGTTGGCGATACTATAGAAGTTGTTGTAATCCCGATCTCATACCTTTATTAGGTGAACTGTAAGATAAATAGTTGAAACCGCAACAAGTTCGGTTTTTATCGGAAGACGGCTCTTCTGAACCGCTAACATTAGCAGCCTAATTACCGCGCGCCTCTGATTGGTCGTGCTGCCGCCGCTTGAGTGAGCGAGAGCTATGCTGTCGTTAGAGACGTTGATTTGGACTGCAAAGGCATTCTCATGATAAAAAAATCAAACAAGATTTCGATTTCCATTAAACTCGAAAATGTTCTATTTGGGCGGCTTAGGTAAATTCTTCAGCTCACATGTTCATGGTCTGTAAACTGAAAAGGGCGAAGAAATCACGAAATGCGTTAGAAACATGCGACCTTTCCACTTTTTGTCTTCATAATTCAAACATCCTCACTATCATTGTCGTGTGCCTCACTTGCTTTTAAATGTTCAGAAATATTTGAAAACTCTGCTATATTATAAGAAAAGCGACGTAATTAGCGTTGCCCGGGCCAAGTAGCGATAGGACGGTGCGGTTCAGAAGGGCACACACCCATTTTTATCAAGCTTCTGTTTCCATCAGTCATCCTCTCGAACTAGCTGCTTGGCGATGATTGACAAATCTATGGATTTTAGGAATATCTATAGACATATGTCTATTGACAAATCATGCAACCTACATATTTTCAGCTATACAATCCATTTTTACAGCAAAAATTGAGACTTATGAGGTTTGAATGGATTTCAAATACCTCAAGGCGTATCTGTGATTGTAATAGGTTAGGAACTAAGTTTTGCAACTCATTGAATAATCTTGCTCTCATTAAGTATGAAGCACTCAAATTTTGTCAACATGTGGATTATGGCGTTATCTACATGCACAGCTGCTGCGCCAGAATCCGACGTCACAGTGAGGTTTAAGGTAGTAATGGTATGGAGGGTAAAATTAAAAATCAATACGGATTTGGCTAAAACTTAGCGCAGGGGGTATCCGACGTGCTGACCACGAGTAACATACTCAGTTTGCATGGTAACTGCATGGTAACTTTTCTAGGATTACTGTAGCTTTACGGTATAGGGTCTCGAAACGAAAATACGTTGAATTTAACAGACGGCTATGATATTCGTGAGCAGGTAGCCTCACTATGTGAGTTTCCGCGGATTTTGACGTTCTCACTCCTTTGTCATCAATGGGTTGTCCCCACAGACGTGGCGTACTTCAGCTTCGTAAGAGCGCTAGATCTCGACATGTCTTTCAAATCTATTTTTTCTCGCTGAGCCAAATGGGATCATTTGCATGATTTAGGTCGCGAACGGCTTCATTTTGGCTTATAACCTCATACACCTCGAAATTTACTAGTTCTGGAAAATTTCTTGCAATTTTTTTAATTTCGTTTTCAGAAAACATCTTGTGCAGGGTTGTAGTACACATTGAAATCTACATGTGGCCAAAGTTTGAGTGCGCCATTTTTGAAGAGAGTAAAGTTATGAAAGCAGAAGAAAAACTTAGTTTCCAACCTAAAGCTTGTGAACCAAACATTGCTGCTAGAATGTTTGGATTCATTGCAGAACTAGTTTGACGTTAAAGATACTCCAATTATGTTTGTACGCCATTATGAGACAGCACGACTGTAATGGTTAATTATTTTGGAAAAAAAGATACCGCTCTTACTAGTATATAAAAGTTACAGTACGCTGTTTTAAAAACCAACCCGTATCAACTGACTACTTTTCCTTTTTACATTCCAAACATGTACGAAAGCACTCACAAAGACGCAAAACATATGCTTTCTGCAAAAGCATTCTAGATTCTGAAATAAGGTTCATCCTGACTATGATGCAGCGTAACTACTGAAAAAACTTTCGATCTGAGCCTTTTCCGCCTTTTTCTCAATAATGATCTATAATTTGTAAACAGGGTGTTTTCCAGATAGCAGTATCGTTTTAGCGAAACCTAAAAATACTTGCTTTTTGATGCTACTTTGCCATGCTCTATATGCTTATCAGTTTTTACCAAGAGTTTGCGTTGCTTACCTTGGCTCATTCTGTTTTCCAATCAGCGTCCACCCCACTCTCTCCCGCAGATTCCACAAACTTGGATATGCACACTTATATGATTGTAATACCATTCTGTTTCGAAGTGAACGATATATAATAGATTGCCATAGAAAGAAAAAAGTGCAAAGGTTCCAAGCAAGAAAGGGTTCCAAGTGGAACTTTACACCATCATTTGTTTTGTGGTTAAAATTGCATAAGAAAGCTTCCAAAGAAGAAAATATTTTATACTGAGTCGTATCATGAGTTCGTAGAGTTTTCATTCTACTCCTTATCTGAAAAGCGGTCAAACTCAAAACTTTAACGTTTGATGAAAAGCTGATCTACTTCGATATCTTCGCTTCCAAAAAAAATTTACAGAAGCCAAGAAGCATTTTCGACACCTGCGGATTTTTCCTTACAAAAAAGATGTTCTTGCATAGATTTTTCTGCCGATCAAGAAAATAACTTTCGCACGTCGATATGAGAAGGAAACGAATTGTTTGCTTCAAAATAGCGAGACTTGCACAAGGTACCCCTGAACGGGAGGCGTGCAAGTGGTACCCAGGCAGCCGACTGCTGCCGCAGCCAGCCGCCGCGTCAGCGCAGCCGCATATGGTAGAATAATTACGCTAGCCGTCTGATACCTCTCCGCCGAAAGGTTTCCTCGCACCTCGTCGCGCGGAGGTGCGATATTAGCCTCAGGGATAGCGCGATATTATCAATAATGATATCAGTATGTGGAGAATTCATCGCTTCTTCAGGTATTCCATGATTTGGCTTTATTAAAGGCACCTATAGAAGGTTGAAAAAAAAATAATATTCTAGAATTCGTTGCCTCTGCCCTTCCAGTAGTACACTTCAACTAGTGAAGTTCCCCGTGGGGAACTTGAGGTATGTGAACAAGGTGTTCACCCGGTCATCGTGTATGATAGAAGACAAGATTCATGTCTTTTAAGTCACAACTGCATACCTTTAGATAGACATAAGGGCAAAGCTAACCGTGTAGCTTATGAGGTTTCCGGATTTTGCTTGTCTATACTTCTATTTTTGAGCAATTTTTAGAACTGTCAAAACACAAAAAACGATCCAAAATTGAAAAGATTTAAAGATCAATTGATAATTATTGTACTATGATGTCCAAATTTGTAACAGAAAAAACTATTTAATTTCTTATTCACTTTTGTAATTGTAACTGTCTGCCGGATTTTGGAGGTTTGCCGCTTGTATATAGTTTTGTGAATGTTTGCATGGTTCTCAATAAACTAGGAACTTTTTTTTGCTGTTCAAAATGATATAGATATTGATGTATGAGATCGATATTATCGCGCTGTCCCTGAGGCTGATATCGCAGCTCAGCGCGACGAGGTGCGAAGAAATCTCTCGGCGGAGAATTTCAGACGGCTAGCGTAATTATTCTATCATATGCGGACGGCTAGCATAACTATCCTACCATATAATTATCCTACCACACGCCAGCCCTGGCGGCTGGCTGCGTCAGCAGTCGGCTGTCCGGGTACCACTTGCTACGCACCCCCCCCCCCCCCGGCCCCCCCCCTCCCCCTGAACAAGACTTCTAGTAGGACTGCACGAAATCCTGCACTAAAAATTCTTGGGCAAGAACAAAATGGTCAGCTATAAACTGCACAACTCGACTGCACCGTCTAAATGAGCCATACTGCAGAAAAGGCATAGACAGATCCAGTGGGTTTTTTTGCGCGACGAAATATGGCTCCTTAGGACAAAACGTCGTCAAAATTGTCCTGCAAGCCCTAAGCGGGGTACATTAACCAATGTCGTGCTGCGGTCTCGCTCTGGAAAATTACCATTTGCCCTGGACTACGGCAAATCGTATGAGCAGCGTTCACTTCGATATTAAGGACGATTTCAAGCGTTGATTAGACGACTTTCTTGGGACCAACACTCCAAGGTTTAGCAAAACTCAATCGAAAATATGACAAGAAGGCAAACGATTGCGCGCAACAGTGGAACAGAAATTATTAGCCAATTTTACAAAATTCTGTCATTTTGTCAGCTTGCGAAAGCTCTACGAACTTATGCGACGACCCAATATTCCGCTGCGGAAAGAGATGCACATATCCTACTAGAAGTTTGGGTTACTTTACTTTGGGAAAAAAATAACTATACAGCTTTTGAGTCATCTGGAATCCTCTCTACACCGGAAATGATTTTGGAATGTCAAAACAACTCGAAACATATGCTTTTTTTTGATATGTGGCGGGTATAGAGTCGTTTTAGAATTTGAGAGCTTTTTCTGAACCGAAACACGTATCTTGTGGGAACTTTTCGGAAACGTGAGTCTAGATAACAAAAAAATTTTTTCTTTTATGGACTGGTTTCAGGCGCGAGATTGAAACACCGTCGATGCACAAGCATGCTTACTGATTCTGCACATACACACCGAGAAAGCTGATTTGTGTGTTGTTTCAATACATAAGAATTTCTGGCAATTTGTGTATGATAGCATAGCATCTTTGGGTGGTTTTCAAATACAACTTCGCATAGCCACCACAGCAAAACCTTCCACAAATATGAAAGCTCACAATTCAAATGTTACAGGTCAATAAATCTCTCGTCTGGAGTTAGACCTACATCGATTTCTTCGCCTATGACTTTTGCGAAAAAATGGGCTGCATTTTGAAAGGAAGAAGCACACTTCGAAAAACATCAAGATCTCCTGTAATCGAGCGGGGAAATTATTTGCATAATTTGCTAAAAATAATAAATTGCAGAACTGTCTAAGGTGGCTTTAACTCTCCCGCAATACAGTTCAGAAGTCTTTCAAGTATTTCAATAGATTTCTGATTACGGTAACCCCGATAATAATGAGGTGCATATATGATTATGATGTACTTAGTTGCAATGAAGTTAAAAAATTCACCTGTGAGGAATTTTGCAAGGCATCCACCCAAAATGGAGTTTATGAAATTTTGATGACTAAGGAATCGGCCATAGGTTGCCGGGGTTGCCAAGGCTGCTGGGCGGGGCCACTTAAAGGGCACATAACACACAGAGACTACCATGAGGTCCTACGACGACCGACAACCTCGGTAACCGTTGCGGCAACCTATGGCAAATCTCTAACCGTAGCGGAGCAAGTATACTTGCCCAAATCTCGTTGCCAAAAGTTACTTCCGAAGCGAGAAAATTGCTTTCGGATAACGGATTCGCCACACAGCTCCTCTTCTAAGAGGGCGTGACGTTCGTCTCGCCCATCTCTGCGCATCCAACCAATCACCGTTCCGGAGTCGCGTAAGTTCGGCGGAACGGGGATTGTAGGGATCTTCGCGGATTTTCGACTCAAAATTCTGGATAAAGAACATAAGAAGGTCCCAGACAGAATATGGAAGTTGAGGACTTTAGGTGGATAGTGCCTTCAAGCTTTTCTTTTTCCTCGTGGACTTGAATTAGCAGAAAATTATGTTTCTTGAGCTGCCGCAATGGAACTTTTAGTGGAGTTGACTGCACCATGACGTTTATGAGGAGGTTTTTATTGAGTAAAACCTTTAATACGATAACGGCAGCACTCGCACTTGTTTTCAAAAAAAGAGCTTATTGATTTATTGCGACGAAATGACTTTGATCATGCATGTTAAACGTGATCAAACCAATCACGCAAGAAAGACTCAGCAAAGCAGAACAACCAATGTTTATTCAAAATTGTTGGAAATATTACTTTCCTAAAGGCGACGGTATTTGCGGCCTTTAACATTCTTCTTCTTTTTCCCTTTCGCAACAGGTTTGCGCTTGGAAGAATTGTTATTTTTGCCTTTTTTGCCTTTGCGGATGTTCTTAACCAGTTTGTCAATATTTGCATTGGGAAACATTGCTTTCAATTTTTTGACATTTTCGTAGACATTTTTGCCAGCCTTGATAGCATTACAGATCTTGCATCTCGTAGTGTTTCTAATGAAGGGCAAGCTACACGCGAAGCACTGCAATAATAATAGATATGCAATTGACGTTATGTGTTAAAGTTCATACCACACTAATTGCCTTTGCTGCAACAAAAAGGCAAGCCATGAAGTAGAAGACGAACAGTCTCGAACACAGCATTATTTCTAAATTATGCATAATTTATGCCTGCCTCATATGTTATGTAGTTCCCAAAGTAATGTCGCTTTCTCCGAATGAACCCCACTTTTCATGGAACCAAGATTTTCAGGAGATCTTGGAAGCACTCAATGCAGAAATTTTCCTCTTTTACTAGTTTTAATTTCATTGCATAGAATTCAATGAGCTCTTGAGAAATTAACAAAATCCGCGACCACACTATTTGAGATGGTCGAATTTCACAATTTTTTTTTGAATTTTTGTAGTAGCCCTCGGAAGAAGTTCGACTAATAGATGGATAGAGAAAACCCTACAGCAGTGCAACTTTTTTCTGTTCTTTTGTATCTCGCCATAAATTTGTGTTCTTATCAAAAGCATTGGATTTGTGCAGGCCTACGTCAGACGCAAACGCATCAAACACCATGAAATCTTCGGAATTTGGCATTTCTGGTAAAGGATCATTATTCGAAAGTATCTTTCACAAAACGGAGCGTTTATTTCAACTTCCGATATTTTCTGGCACGGCCCATGGCACGTTAAAAAAACGAATTTTGATGATTTATCCCGGAAGGCTCCCAAATTGGAAGCAAAAATACCCACTAGAAAGAGGAGAAAATGCTGAACCATTCACATCCGAGTTGCTCGCAGGTTGATGCTCTCCGGTAAAAATCCTATCAAAAATTTATGGCGTGCTACGAGAAAAAGAAAAAGTTGTACTGATTCCAGTAGGGTTTGCTCTACTTCATTACATGGACTCTTTCCGAGGACTGCTACGAAAATTTTCAATAAATTGTGAAACATGACCATCTCAAATAGCATATGTCGCAGATTTTGGTAGTTTTTCAAGAACTGATAAAATTCTATGCAATGAAATTATAGTCATTAGAAAGAGGAAAAATTTTGCATTGAATGCTTCAAAGAGTTTTGAAAATCTTGGTTCCAAAAATGTGGCGTTTATTTGAAAACAGCGACATTACTTTTGGAACAACCTAATCTATCAAGAAAATAGTTTTCGTTTGCTATCATCATTTAATATCTCACGGCAAACAATGCACACTGTTTTTGTGTTTGAGAATATAATAGCCCAAACGTACTAGGCTGATACATCTTGCTCCGGAAAACTGAAAACTCATGATATTGAGTAGCGCAAAATGCCAGCACTACTGGCTTTGCTATTTGTTCACGCGCAAAACTCACCGCATTTACCCGCATTGCGGGCGCACTATTAGAAAAATCGACTCGACGGTATTCATGAATACTGAGTTTAAAAAGTCTTTTTCTTTCCAAATGACATGGCTAGGCATAGCTGGAACCAGGTTTAGCTAGATATATTTCTGATGGAAAGCAAAGGGGATATAGTTTTTGCGTAATCTGAGGCGGGGGAGAGCCGCAAACGCTCCCGCGGCATGCCGGCGCATGCGAGCGGCTTGCTACCTCAAACAAAAACGTTGTTGACAAGGCGCGAAAGTACGCCACAGACTTGGCGTCCCTCTGCTTGAAGGACTTCAAACTATGGCCCAAAAATTATGAAGCTATATGAATGATACTGTTCTAAACTTATTGAGGTAGTCGAGAGAGCCGTTTTAGTTGATTTCCAAATGAGCTGGAAGCGACTCCTTGCTCACATTATTTTGCGCACTTTTTTAACATACGTTGTATCATCACTGTAAAGATTTTTCGAGCAAAAAATGGTTTCACAGCCTTCTAGGCTTTTGTATAGCCTTCAGAAACTTCTCAGTAGTGGCCCAATTTGCTCCGCAAAGCGCGCCTTTTAGGAGACAGACGTGCGAGTTTTCATATTTTTGCTGGACTCTAAGCCTCCATGCTTACATTTGCCTTTGTCTTTCTCCTTTTTTGTGCTGTTTTTAGGCATTCGTTTTCTTTCGCAGAGGGGATTATGGAGACGAGGTGCAGGTGTAGGGATGAGAGGGAGGAAAGTGGAAGGGCGGGAAGGGTAAGGTAAATGTTCCTTCATTTTTTCATTTCGCTTTTGCCCTTTATTCTGAGTTGGACCGCAGTTCCGATTGAAATAAAGGGCGAAAAGCTAAGCAACGATGAGTGAGAGGTCCATACAAATGTCAAACGGGTTCGTGAAAAATTTGATGATCAGTGGCCGTATCAAAAACTCTTTAGTTCCAGCTTATGCCGAGCCTTGCCAAGTGAGCTCGAAGAGAACTCCTTCTGGATTATTGCAGCAATCACTTTGGTTGAGAAAATCAGAGTGGTTTTCAATTTTTTGGGTACTGAAATAGATAGAATGTTTATTATGATGCAAATTCTATGCATGCTCCTTATTCTGAAGCGGTAGAGAAGATATATTTAAGTGCTCAACGACATAAGTTGTTAAGCAAAGTAAGTTCTGAATGATTGTATCTCATCAATCAAAGAAGTACGATCTTCCTGAAGTTTGGGGAATAAATCTGGAAGTTATTGGACACCCAAAATTCAGAATTTTTTTTATCGATCCTGTGAGCCTCCAACTGGGTGCATGCTCTATTTTTTCTCCAACTGAGAATAGAACATGAAAGTAAACGAAAAATGAGAGTTGTACCTTTCTTAGACGGAATATTCGATAAACACGTCGAGGAGCTGAAAATTCATTGTAATTCTCCCAAAGGATTGTAGTACGGATATATTTATGTCAGAGCAAATCAGCATTGCTTTTGTTGAAGCATGTCGAATTTTAATTTCTTTACCAAGCTCGCAGCATGTTGACATATGCATAGCTGATGCTGCTAACTTTTGTGAGAAAGTGGACGTTTACAGAAATTCTTTGAGCGGAGACTCAGTTTCTAAAAGGTTGAAAATTTTCAAATTTTTCCTAATTGTCCTGCATCCACTTTTCAGAATGGTTTGAACACATTGTATAGTGCTTGCTTTGCTCTGTCGAGTTTGCCTTAACTGCTTCAAAGATTTCTATGTATCTATCGCTTCAGATAAGGAACATGCATTAAGTTTGCACCAACCCGATATTATAAAATTTTGCTCTTGCTTTTGTTTTGTGATCCACTTTCTAAATGAAGGTTTCGTGCTAAACCGAATTCTCAAATTAATCTATTCTTAAAGTAAACACACTTACGAGGGAAGTACTTTCAATGGCCGTGGCTGTTTGATATTAGATGCATATCATCTGAAGCAGCTTCGAACGCTGATTCCGAATCTGCCTTCCTCTTCTGCGGAACGCTCTTCTGAAGAGAGTTATGAAGCCTGAACATCCTATTTTGGGGGCGCCCCTTGAAATTGAGGGCGTTGCTATGTGCGTTGGTGGTGCAGTAATGTAATGGTTATTTGCTGACATTGAATGCGAGAGGTTGATGGTTCAAATCCGGTAGAGAGCGAGTCATTTTGCATTTTGAATATGAGTTTAAAAGCACTCTAAATCGTCTGCAGACACTTACTGTAATGCCTTAGCACAAACAGGAGAGAACATCTTTTCGACTAATGACAGTGTGCATTTTTTGAGCTTTATATGGTGACAAACGTGCTAGGCCATGTTTGGTCATGTTTTACTAGTAAGAAAGTCAAATAGAATTTCAGACTCTCATTACAGGCAGTTTTGCCAGAAAGTTGTTTTTCAAGGTCACTTATGCCAAAGGCATTACAGTAAGTGTCTGCAGGCGATTTAGAGTGCTTTCAGACTCACATTCAATAAGCAACATAGTTCGGTCTGCACAGTATTCGAACCATCTACCTTTCATCTTCAATGTCAGCAACTAACCACTACATTACTGCATCACCAATGCACACAGCAGCGCCCTCAAACTCAAGGGGCGCCCCCAAAATAGAATGTTCAGGCTTCCATAACTCTCTTCAGAAGACCGTTCCGCAGAAGCGGAAAGCAGATTTGAAATCAGCGTTCGAAGCTGCTTCAGAAAATATGCATCTCATATAAAAAGGCCACGGCCATTGATAGTACTTCCCTTGTTAGTAAATTACAATATCAGACTTTCGTATCCTTAAGATTAGGCCGTTACAAAAATTGTTGCACTTGAATTTTTGCCGTAATGATCATACACTTTTTTGAGTCTGATTTCAGGACACTATTCTAAAGGCAGCGTCCAGGCAAGATCCATCCACCCAGATTAGCACATAATCGTAAAGAGGGGCCCATGAGTACCCGATTTGCGTTGGTCCGATCCTTTGGCGTGGCCTCTAAAAGGAGATAGGAGCCTGTGATACGTATCACAAACCGCCCCTTCGTATCACAAACCAACTCTGAGGACGAGTGCTCACGCAGGTGTGCAGTTGCATTGCAGCTCCTCAAGCTGGCATGCGATGGGGACGAGCAATCCGAAACTCGTCCGCTCCTTGAAGAGAGGTCCCCAGGAATCAGGTTTTCTGGAGGTTTTAAACAACTTGGACTTCACAACTGTAATCAGGGCGACGGAAAGGCCCCAGAATGTCAGAATCATGAGAGGCGAAATTTTGCCTGGACGCTGCCCTTAAAGATCAAGACAAGTTATACGTTTTAACAGTTGACATTAGCTCTGATCCACGTTAAGTCTGACGCCAAAAACTAAAAGATCCAAATGAATGAGAAATTTAGAGAAATTTGGGGCTCCATGCAATAGAAATCTACAAAAATTCTAACTTGCTCACAAATGTACACCTCACAACAAACATTCATATATGCAGTTGACTTATTTTCACAAAATGAAACCGAGAAAATAAAAAATTTACAGATTTACATTGAAGGCAGTGGCTCGGGAAAATCGCGACTGGGGGAATGCCACAACCATGGCCTTCTGGGCCAGTCAGGTACAGAGCTCGAAAAGTCAAAAAAGTGCTTTTTGCGTCTTCCAAACTTAAAGATTGCTGGGAAGGCGGGTCGAGGAATTTCCGTCAACTGCATCGCGGGCTGATCAGCCAATTGCAGCCAATATAGGTGAAGTTATAGTATCCTACAGTCACTTGCTGGTTATGGCGGGAACCCCTCGCCCCTCCTTATTGTTAGCAAACTGCAAGATCGG